ATCCATCCATCCATCCATCCATCCATCCATCCATCCATCCATCCATCTGACAGTCGGAACAGCAATTGAAAGATTTCTTTATTTTTCGTTCAGTCATTTGAACTTTTCTGGTGACTGCCTACCTTATTTATATTAGTCTATTAAGTAGCTAGATAAAAGTGAAATTTTTACATTTTATGATTTAACTTGCTTTTTAAGTACATAGGGGTATTCATAATACATCTCTTTAAATTTAGCTAATGAACCACTGTTAGTGTTTTCCTTGCACTATGTGATGCAAGCTCTTTTTTCAAAATACACTTGCTTAAAAACGTACATTAACTATAAAACTTAGTGTTGGCTGCTTTATTTTGATTATTTGATATTTTATGAATAAATTCTGTGGACTGGCGAGATACTCAGCAATTAAGAACACTTTCAGCTTTTTTAGAGGACTTGAGTTCAGTTCCCTACACCCACATTCTGAAACTGACGACAACTGCCTGTAACTCTCGCTCAACCTACACACACACACACACACACACATAAAACCAAACCAAGCAAGCAAAACCGCCTTTGAAAATATTTTTGAAATTATTGAAGTTGCATGACGTGCTTGTGTTTACCCTGTCTTCCTTTTCCTTCCCCAGTGGACTCCAGAAGGAAGACGATTGGTCACTGGAGCTTCTAGTGGAGAGTTCACCTTGTGGAATGGGCTGACTTTCAACTTTGAAACCATATTGCAGGTAATAGGAACCACCAGATGGTAGCTCCTCTAAAAACTTGAGGGCATAGTCAACTTCATTGGCAGTATAAAACTTAACAATTGGACAGTTTACTGCTCTGAGTTAATAGAGTTTCCTATCAGCTTCAGCCATATATTCCCTTAAAGAAAAACTTAAAATTGTTTTCTATTTTTACAGGCTCATGATAGCCCTGTGAGGGCCATGACTTGGTCACATAATGACATGTGGATGTTGACAGCAGATCATGGAGGATATGTGAAATATTGGCAATCCAACATGAACAACGTCAAGATGTTCCAGGCACATAAGGAGGCGATTAGAGAGGCCAGGTTTATACACAATATACCATTTTCTGTAGTCCCTATTGTCATGGTTAAATTACTCTCTAAGTGTATTCTGGGTGCAGAGATGCATGGGCTCTCTCAGATTCTGGGAAACTTTCCGCACCTTATGAACACGATATTTCTCTTTGTTTTCACACATTCACCATTTTGCTGGCACCTTTCTGAAGTAGTTTTGTCCTGGTATCAGCCTTTGCAATATGTTAGAGATGTATTGTCTGCCACATTTTGCACTGGTTTTCTCTTTTTATTTATGGTTAATAATGTGTATACGTTATTCCTTTTTATTATCTACTGTGTAAGACAAGAATATTCCAAATAAAGAATTCAGTCTTTAATTATACAACTGAATAAAATCTAAAGCCTACAGAAATCACCTTCAGAATCCACACAAAAGTCAAGGAAAAAAAGAGGCTTAAGTGAAGACCTGGTTGGCTTGGTTCTGCCACGACTTCAAAAAGAAAGAAAGTATAGGACTAAAAACCTCACAGATAACTCTGGACGTGGCAAACATTAACGGATTAATGAATGGGTTCTTCATGCTTTGCAGCTGTAAGCAGACCTTTGTCAAAGAAGACTCTAGGACTTTTCTTCTGATTCACTGTTGATAACATGACTTATGCAAATGTATGAGTGGAGTTAAAACATTTTCAGTGAGTTGTATGTTTTTACATAACAGTGAGAAATGTATAGTAAACCGGGGGAAAGAGTTTCAAAAAGAAGCCTGAAGAATTGCTGCAGCCTCAGAATAAAGCTAAGCAGCATTCTTTTAAGGTCGTGCCATCTACATGCGGGAAGAGGTTGACTTTAGAAACACCATTGGAAGTCACTGTTTCTCCTTTCAGAATCCACAGAACTTGTTGCATATATATGTTTCTGCTTTGTAGACTTGACCTCAGTGTTGTGCTCATCATTTTTTCACCTTTAGCCATTCAGAAGTTCAAGGGAGTTCATACAGTTCATTGAAAATCTTGATGGTTTTTCACAGCCAGGAAGAAAACTGGCTCCCTCTTGTGTAGCAGTCATTGGCTTTAAAAATATCTGGTGTATATTTTAAGTTTTCCTCCAGAGGTACAACATTCATGGGATTACTTTACACCTGGAAGAAGGCATGCGGTTTTCACGAGCCTTTTAAATAAGTGAGAAACATGGTATATAAGGATGCTGTTTTAGCCTATCAGTTTTGAAGTTTAAGTGTCTGAGGCAGAAACTGATGCTCATGTTTTGAGCAGTATTACTCTGTGGCTTAAATGATTATATGTAGAAATACTGTTAAGAGTAGAGTACATGTAGTTTCACAGTTAAGGCAGCTCCCCATGATTTGTTGGTACAGGAAATATACTAAAAGGAGCACAGGTAATGATAGGACTAGTAATGCACTGAGAAGTTCTCTAAATATTGATGGAAAACTGGAAAGAAAAACCCCCTATTCTTTTGAAGTCTTTTGATGAGATGCATATGTTAGCTGACTCCATTCTCTTTAAGGGCTTCTTCACTGGATACATCCTTCTCCTGTTTATAATACAGCAGTGTTTTTATTTTTCCCTGTCTGAGAAGCATGGATGATCTGTTAAATGCTGACCTCTTTCCCCTGCTGTGTGTCTTCATGTAACAGTTTCTCACCCACGGATAATAAATTTGCTACATGCTCTGATGACGGCACTGTTAGAATCTGGGATTTTCTTCGTTGCCATGAGGAAAGAATTCTCCGAGGTATGTGTACTAACAGTACTGATTGAAATACTTAAATAGGGAAGGCATTTGTGGTTAAGTCATCACAATACACTATATCTACTTGTATCTCCATTAAAGTATTTTTTTATACATTCACCATCTCTGTCAAGACACAGCTGTTCTCTAGTTTGCATTCATTTTTTAAATTTTAACTCATAGTAACTTCACTCTCTTTGAATTCTTTCAGTTGCAAATTAAATACAAGCTTTCCCTTTTCTCCATCACTTCCTTATCTTTGTCTTTTAGGGAAGTACTCTTTACTGCCATAGACATTTCAAAAAATAGCTCACATATTCATGACAGCTCTTGTACAGGTAACAAATTATCTGATGAAACAGGGTTATTAGTAGCTGTATGTACTCACCCCCCTTTTGAGAAAGGTTCTTATTGTGAAGATTAAGCTGGCCTGGAACTTGCTGTATAGCCCACATTAGCCTGGAACTTATAGTTCTTAGTCCTTGTCCAGTCTCCCAATTCTGAGAGTGCAGATGTGCTTCATTGCAACTGGCTTACTTGAAATTTGTAGATTATTTCACTTTGTATAGTGGGGCTGTTACCACCCTTTATGTGAATTCTGAGGTACTAGAATTTGCTAATTAGCTGTGTCTTATATATCCTTAGTGCAAACATTATAATAAAACCATTTGTACTTCTAAGTACTTGGTTTATTATTCACTAGGAACGTAATATTTTCAAGTGTTTAATTTCAACCTCTACTAGTTTACAAACTGACCTTTGCCTCCTCCATGCCCTTGATTCCAGAAACCCTCAGAAGTAAAATCATGGGAAATGGAAATTAAGGGTGGAGAATGGGTACCAAAGATAACATTTATCAAGACATTATGATTCAGAGATTTTCCTTCATGTTACAGAGTCAGCAGTAAGTTGTCTTGGAATTGTAAATTTCCTACTACTGGTAAGATACTTTAACATGCCAGATATTGTTGTGCATACCCTTTACTCCTGGGAGAGGCAGGTAATCTCTGTGAGTTCCATGTTAGCCTGGTCTACATAGGTGGTTCCAGACCAGCCAGCAGTGTATAGTGAAACCCTGTCTCAGAATAAAGCAAACAAACAAAACTAAACTAAAAAATTAAAAAAATAAATTCCAGCCAGTATCATTGAATGTATTTTCACATTGTCTTGGATCCGTGTCCAGTTGTGCATTGCCACAGCTAGTGTGAGGGTCCTGTTGGTACCTGTCAAATTGAGGGGCATGGCATATGCACTGTGAAGATCATGACACCATGCAACTTAAGAATGAGGGAGACTCATTTATGGAAGAGTACCATGACCCAGAAGACTTAAATGACTTGTTGAAAAATAATAGGTTCAATGCCATAACTAGAATCTTAACCACTTGACTTTCATCCTCATTGTACACTTATGTTGGCTCTTTCCTCACTGTTCTTAGAAATATTAGGTGTTAAACAGATATAGGTTAATGTTTTCTAGGTTTAGAAATAAAAATCCTTAGGAATAAAGAAAATTTTTTATTTAAAGTAATCCTGGGAGATTGCAATGACTGACTTTATAATCTGAAATAGAGCAGAATTCTCATATTAGACTGCTCAGCAGTTTGTATTGCAACAATCTTTTGTGTTAACTTCTTTTCACTTTACACAACAGTTCTAGAAGGGCTCTGAGAACAGCCCTGCATGTGCCTGACAGTGTCTGAAATGCACTGTGAGAAGCAGCACTTGATAGTTTTAGATTTGAGTTAAGGTGAACCTTTTTATTATTAATTTTAGTCCCGGTGAATTTAAATAAAGTGGAGCAAGTCTCACATAATCCTTAGATTTTAGATTCCAGTTGCTATTTTCTGTCATTCAGTTTTCTAAATTCTGTGAAATTAAGAGTGTTTCTGTTATACTTGATGGTTGGAGGTCAGATTTACAGTCATTACTGGGAGAATATAAAAGTGTTCATCAAAAATTAGAAGAAAGAACCTGAAGGTAGCTTCTCATGAAAAACATTGGATCCCAAAGCCAAATTGGGACAGGATGAATGTTCCACTTCTAAAACACCAGTTGCCCTGTAATAAGTTAAGTCATGGTCTACCCATACTTACCTGGCAGGCAAGCATACATGCTCCTTTTCTTGTATGTGTCAGGCACTCACTTTGAGAGGCTAGGTGTTTAGAAAAATCAAGAAAACACTATTTGAAGGGAGGTGATGAGCATATATTCTGAGGCTTTAACACATACTTATCCTTTTCTCCATCATCCATAATAAAAACCAAACTTTTTCTCAGATTTTTAGTGATAAAGTATTTGTTGCCTCATGTTTTTCCTTACTGATATCAGGTCTGATTTTTATAATATTCTTCCATTATGTTGGTAATCTGCTTTTCTCCAATTTGCTCTTCCACTTGGGACAAAAAAGAAAACAAAAACATTTAATGCATGGCTATAATCTCAACACTTGTGAGGTGGAACACAGCCTGGACTTTGCAAGACACTTAGAAAGAAAATAAACATCTGTGATCTATTCTGACAGCCAATTAAATATTTAAAAATAACAGTCATGTTTTTTTTTCTCTGAGTTCAGCTTTAAGTACACAGTATTTTTTAGAAGTCACAATACTACAAATACAAAAAGACACAATTTTTCAGTACAAAATTTACAATCCCGCCCCCTCTCCCCCCACCCCGGGTTTTTCAAGACAGAGTTTCTCTGTGTTGCTTTGGAACCTGTCCTGGAACTAACTCTTGTAAACCAGGCTGGCCTCGAACTCGAGAGAAACCTGTTTAAAATGGACATAGAGCAATTGTTGGGAGATTTGCTGTAAAAAAGTATTGCTTGGTTGATTGATAAGTTCATGAAATTGAGTTGGGAACATCTCGTAAATGTCCCTCATATACTGGAGTTATATACATTTATCCTTTTTCTCAAGTAAACAGTGCTTAAAATTTTGTAGGCAAGATATTTTTACAAGCTTTTATCTTCAAAGCAGAGACCAGTGAGTAAACTTAATAATATTTGTTAGAAATACTTTATTGACACAGAAGAGGGAAGAAGACCTGCGACTTTGTCTCTAAAAGCAAAATAAACCTCTTGCTGCCAAGTTGAAAACATGTAATCATTAAGAATGCTAAATTAAATTTTAATGAGAAGCATTAAACTTATAAAAAGAATCTATTCCAGAAATTCACTGCACTTGAAGTTTGTTTTATCTTTTTGGTTTTAGCAATAATAGCTGGCACACTCACCAGGCATAGTGTAAGTACTTACTTTAGCATCATCCATAACCCTTTGGGATAAGAATTGGTTAGCCCCTACTTTACAAATGAATGACACAGTCACTAGGAAGTTAAGTGCACGTGCCGTGCCAGAGATCTTTCATACAGTGTAAGAAGTAGGACTAGGAAGGCAGATTGTTTGGCTTGAGTTTTATTACTGTGTAGCCCAGGGCACATGCTAGGCAAGTAACCCAACCACTGAGCTATAACCCTAACCTTTTATATTTTAAAAGAAATGTCATCATAGATTGTATTCCTGAGCTATGGTGATAGAATTATGAAGTAAAGCTTTTGGTAGGGGAGGAGGGAGAGTGTGGACAGAGGGAACTCCAGTTTATTTTAATACTTTCCTTAAAAACTGTCCCTATAGGTTATAGTGGGGTTTTTTGGGGGCGGGAGTTGTTTGTTTAGTTTAGGTTTTTTTTTTTCAAGACTGGGTTTTTTTTTGTGTGTAGCTCTGGTACCTGTCCTGGAATTTGCTCTGTAGACCAGGCTGGCCTCAAACTCACAGAGATCCACCTGCCTCTGCCTCCTGAGTGCTGGGATTGAAGGTGTGTACCACCACTGCCCAGCAGTTATAATTATTTATGTACCACTTACTGAACCACAGAAACATTAAATCACACTGGATTGTTGAAACAGCAAATGAGTTACAAGATAGCTGCTAAGTTATATAAATGTACAGAAAGGGGTACCTTCCAATAGGGTCCAGAGGAAGTGCCTTGGATTGGGAACAAATCTGTTGGTATGTGCTCACTTAGCATACACTGAGTCTCAGGATCATGCCCCAGTATAGCATGAAATTGAGTTTGTTAGTACCTCTGATCTAGGCAGTGGGAAGGTGAAGGTGATGAGATCAGAAATTCAAGGTCATCTTTGCTACATAGCATTTGTAGACCAGTCTGGGGCAAAGTGGGACTCTGTCTTTAAGAGCAAAGCTAAACCAAACCTGTTTTATAAAATTTTATTTTGCTTTGCTTTAAGAAAGGGTCTTACTACACAGTCCAGGCTAGACTTGTGTTCACTAAGTAGCACTTGCTAGCCTACAAAGAACTCATGGTGTCTTTCCCTACTCACCCTCTAAGGTGCTGGCTCTCTTCAGTATTAGTGCTTAGTGCGAAGAAATGAACCTCCATGTTCACTTCACAGCATAAGAAAAAGAACAGCATTCATATGTTTTTTTTCTTTTTGGTTTTTTCGAGACAGGTTTTCTTTGTGTAGCCTTGCCTGTTTGGGAACTAGCTCTGTTGACTAGACAGAGTTCTGCTTGCTTTTGCCTCTCGGCTGCTGGAATTAAAGGCATGTACCACCATTGCCCAGCAGCATTCATGATAAGTCTTTGTGTATTTTTTTCTTCATTGCTTTCAACTGTAATTTTTACTAAATAAGCTAAAGCCTTCACTACAAAGATATTTTAGTTTAGTAGAAGGTTTTTAAACGGTGTAAAGACATGTTTACAGAGTCTTCAGGGTAAAAATGTGATCTTCATTGTGAGTAATTTACTTATTACTTATCTATAACATTTTATATGGCATTCTACAAAATCCTATTTCTTAAGAGAAAACCACAAACCCTGTTATCTTTGTGACATAGTTTGTATTCTCATCTTGGTTACTTTTCTATTACTATGGGAGAACACCTTGAGGAAGGCACTGATAGAAGAAATTTGGGGGAGAATTTACAGTGTAGTGGGTTAAAGTCTATGACCGTCATTGGGGGAAGCATGGCAGCAGCATG